TTGTAGTAGTTGTAGTAGTAGTAGTAGTAGTAGTAGTAGTCGTCGTCGTAGTAGTAGTAGTTAGTAGTAGTAGTTAGTAGTAGTAGTAGTAGTAGTAGTAGTGGGCTGTTCTTGGAGGCCTCTTGGGCCGTCTTGGAGGCCTCTTGGCTCGTCTTGGGGCCATCTTGGGCGTCTTGGAGCGCTCGTTTGGGCCGTCTTGGGGCGGAAGGCTCGGATTGTCGGTTCAAGCTCCCCCTCTTGGGCCCCTCTTGGGGCCGTCCTGGGACCCTCTTGGGCCGTCTTGGGGGCCTCTTGGGCCGTCTTGGCGCCCTCTTGGGCCGACTTGGGCGCCTCTTGGGGGCCTCTTGGGCCGTCTTGGGGCGGTCTTGGGGTGCTCTTGGACCGTCTTCAACGCCGTAAAGGCCGACAAGTCGTATATGATGAAAATGTACGTTTGTCCCAGAGGAATTCGATGATTTTCGGCTCTTCGGCCCTTCTGAGGACTGTTCTTGGAGGCCTCTTGGGCCGTCTTGAGGCCTCTTGGCTCGTCTTGGGGCCATCTTGGGCGTCTTGGAGCGCTCGTTTGGGCCGTCTTGGGGCGGAAGGCTCGGATTGTCGGTTCAAGCTTTCCCTCTTGGGCCCCTCTTGGGGCCGTCTTGGGGCCCTCTTGGGCCGTCTTGGGGGCCTCTTGGGCCGTCTTGGCGCCCTCTTGGGCCGACTTGGGCGCCTCTTGGGGGCCTCTTGGGCCGTCTTGGGGCGGTCTTGGGGTGCTCTTGGACCGTCTTCAACGCCGTAAAGGCCGACAAGTCGCATATGACGAAAATGTACGTTTTCCCACTGGAATTTGATAATTTTCGGCACTTCGGCCCTTCTGAGGACTGTTCTTGGAGGCCTCTTGGGCCGTCTTGGAGGCCTCTTGGCTCGTCTTGGGGCCATCTTGGGCGTCTTGGAGCGCTCGTTTGGCGTCTCGGGGCCCTCGTGGGCTGTCTTGGAGACGTCTTGGGGCCTTCTTGGCCCGTCTTGAGCCCCTTTTGGGTCCAAAAGAGCTCGTGGTTCGCTCGGGCCAGGCCCGGGGTGGGGGGGTCGAATCGTCGGTTTGGGGTCCCATGGGGGGGGGTTAGGGGGGGGAACTATCTCACACGCCTAGAGACCCACAAGGGGTCGGCGGATTTCTGAGGAGTCGAATGGACTCCAGAAGAAGACTGAGGACTGCTTTAAAAGGACCCCCATGCAATTTGGGGGAATTTCCAGGCACCCTAAGCAAACCGAAGGCAGTTGGTAGAATCCAACGGGGGTCGGCTCGAATGGACATTTGAAGGTGGGGTGCGAAGCCCCCTCGAGGCCCCATGGCAGCTCCAAGAGGCCTCCAAGATTCCCCCAAGAGGCTTCCAAGAGTGCAACAGGACGTTCAAATCATTCAATTGCCAATGGGAAACTATGGGTTCGGATGAACTCGCCTTTTCGCTCTCGATAGGCTGGCCTTTCAGGCTCCAAATGCCCTCCAGACGGCCCAAGGGCCTCCCGAAGCGACAGAAGAGGTCCTCGAGAGAACATTCAAACAAATTCCAGGGTCTCGCCCCCCCCCACCGCCCCCAAACGCCTCTAAGAGGCTGCTCAAGACAGGCAGTCGACCGGATGTTCTGGGAGGCCTGTTCGGGAACATCGGACCGACGACGACGATGACGATGTTGATGCTCATTTTGGTGATGCTGAGGATGATGATGGGTAAGACGATTCCAGTGACGATGTGCACGATTGGCGTAGCGGTGTTGATGATGATGATGATGATGATGATGATGTATTGCGGTTGGTGATGGAAGTGAGAATGAACATGATTCGGATCTTGATGCGGATAACGGATAATGTTGATGATTCGGATGATGATGAGGTTGATGAGGATGTTGATGACGACGACGGCGACAACGACGATTATGATTATGATTTTGATGATGATGATGATGATGATGATGATGATGATGGTGGTAGTGGTCATGATGATGATGATGATGATGATCATGATGATGATGATGATGATGATGATGATGATGATGATGATGATGATGACCATCATCATCATCATCGTCATCATCATCATCATCATCATCATCATCATCATCATCATCATTATGATCGTTCGCGAGCTTGACGTGTAGGCATGGCTAGCAGCATTTTGCTAACGATGCTCTCCATGATGTTGCTGTTGTTGAAGAAATTGATGATGAGTATGATCATGATGATTCTGATGATGCCGATGGGTAGCTTGATGAGGAGTATGAGGATTAGTGCTGGAATTCGGATGAGGGTGAGGATGGGTATGTCTATGTCACGCGCGGTGAGGGTGAGGATGAGGGTGAGGATGGAAACCAAGCTTTTCCAGCGACCCCCCAGCCTGCACTAGAACCTGAGTGCGCTCGAATCGCGCCCGATAGTTCTAGTATACAGATACACACAATATGTTTATTCAGCTTCGTATCGTTATTCGTACCCCCTCCTACCTACTCCTCCTTCCTCTTCCTCCTCCTCCTCCTCCTGCTCCTCCTCCCTCCTCCTCCTCCTCCTCCTCATCCTCCTCCTCTTATCATCACATCATCATGCACCCCTTTCTATTTCATCCTCCTCCTTCCTCCCTTCACCCCTCCTCCCTCCTCTTCGATCCTCCTCCTCCTCCACTTCTCCTGGCCGACGGTCCGCCGCCAGGAAGAGCTGGTCGCGCTGCGGGAGTGCCTGGTGGCGTCCGGGGCCCTCAGCGCCGACCGGCTCTCCGCGAGGCTGCACCGCCAGAGGCCCAGCGCGTTTTCGCGCTTGCGCGCCGCTCCGCGGAGAGGGGTGAGAGGGAGGAGGGGGCTGACGCTTCAGGCGCCTGTCTGGCGCCCTCGCCGCCTGCGCAAGAAAAGGAGGCGGGGGAGGAGGAGGAGGAGGAGGAGGAGGAGGAGGAGGAGGAGGAGGAGGAGGAGGAGGAGGAGGAGAGGAGGAGGAGCAGGAGGAGGAGGAGCAGGAGGAGAAGGAGAAGGAGGAGGAGGAGAGCAGGAGAGGAGGAGGAGCAGGAGGAGGAGCAGGAGCTGGATGATGATGATGTGATGAGGAGGAGGGGAGGGCCACTCGAGATAACGGCGGCCCTCCCTGCCGCTTCCCATCCTGTCGGGGCCCTGCTGGAGGCTTCTCGTCGCCACGTCTGGAGCCGCGTCGAAACACGGGCCAGGATGGACCCCAGGGAGGAGCATGATGATGATGATGATGATGATGATGATGATGATGATGATGATGATGATGATGATGCTGATGATGATGCTGATGATGATGAGGATGAGGATTATGTTGATGATGATGCTGATGCTGATGATGATGCTGATGATGCTGATGATGCTGATGATGCTGATGCTGATGCTGCTGATGATGCTGATGTTGATGATGGTGATGACGATGCTGCTGATGAAAATTATGATGATGCTGATGTTGATGATGATGACGATGCTGATGCTGATGCTGCTGATGATGACGATGATGAGGATGCTGATGCTGATGCTGATGCTGATGCTGCTGCTGATGCTGCTGATGACGACGATGATGTTGATGTTGTTGATGATGATGCTGCTGCTGATGATGATGATTGATCTCATGATGACGATGATATTGATGGTGATGATGATGATGATGATGATGATGATGATGATGATGATGATGATGATGATGATCCTGATGCTGATGATGATTCTGATGATGACGACGATGATGATGCTGGTGATGATGATGATGCTGATGCTGCTGATGATGACGATGATGATACTGATGCTGATGATGATGATGCTGATGCTGATGCTGCTGCTGTTGTTGATGTTGATGCTGCTGATGATGATGATGATGACGATGAGGATGCTGTCGATGATGATGAATATCATGATGACGATAATGATGATTCTGATAATGACGACGACGATGATGATGATGGTGATGTTGATGGTGATGATGATGATGATGATGCTGCTGATGATGATGATGATGATGATGATGACGAAGATGCTGCTGCTGTTGCTGCTGATGATGATGATGATGATTATTATGATGACGACGATGCTGCTGCTGATGATGATGTTGATGCTGCTGCTGATGACGTTGATGATGAGGATGATGATGACGATGATAATGATTCTGACGATGATGATGTCTATGATGATTAATGCGACGATGGAGAGGGAGGAAGAGGGAGGACATGAGAGTGGAGGACGATGAAGACGACCTCATGCTCGTCTCCGCCCTGACTCGAGGCCCACCCGTAGGCGGCGCCCCAATCGCGGGCCGTGGTGCATGGCCTGCGTCGCCGTGCAGGGCGAGCTCCGCGCGCGCGCGCGTCGAGCAAGCGCTGCGGGATGAAGGCCTTCCTCCTCTGCCCAGCTTTCGGTTTTCGGGCGTTTCGTCGATTCTCGTCGGTTTCCCAGCCGCGGGATGCGTTCCAGCAGATGCACCCTCGCCGAGGGCTTTCCGGGGTGCCAGAAGTTTCCGAACGGCCACTGGGGACTCGAGCTGTGATCCGAAAGCCAGACGACGACGAGGCGTCATCCAGTCCTCCTCCCCCCCAGGGCACATTTCGGTTCGATCGATCCCACCCGATCTTTCGGTTGCAAGTCACGGGAGCGTGTACCCTCGTAATGCCGTTTTCAGAATGCGCTAGCGTCGATCAGCGTCTAGTAATCAATGAACAGCGCCGATTTAGCGCCGATTAGCGTCGATTTAGCGCCGCTTCTCTAACTTCCTCCGCTCGCTCCTCCTGCTGCCATTTTTTTGGCTCAAGACCGCTTTTTGGCTTGAGCTGGTCACGGGGGCGTTTGCTCCCGCATTCGTTATCCTTTCATGTGCACGTTGATTCTTTCCCTTGATGGCACGGCTTGCCATATATACTCTGTTCAACGATTGCCAAGTACTTAAACACGAGAACAACGTGCTACAGAAGCAGGAACCTCAGCTTTCTTTGGACGTGCTGATCCCGCGGGTAGAGAAATTGCGGGAGGATGTTCAGCGGCGTGACT